TAATTCAACTTTATCTGAGTTTCTGGACAAGAAAAAGGGTAAACAGTTGAAATTTCATTCTAAAACTCATCTTTTTTGGTCTTTTTATGGCTTATGATATGTTAAATTTGTAATTTTCTTTATTGGTTTTGAGTGTTTATCTTAAAACTCAAGTTTCTTGGTTTTTTGCTCTTGGTGTAAATCGAACACATTTGTGGAGTCGTTTAAATATAGTGGATTTTAAATATATTGGTTTTTAAACTGTCATACAATTTTTTTCATCGATAGTCTGTAATTGGAACCATAACTCTTATTTATTCAAATTGTATTAATATGTAAAAACCAAATGTAACCTATATCATCATTAAATCTTATCTTATAAAACCAGTGGAACTTCAAAATCGTTAAAATTCATGGCTCATAGCATTTATGAACACAATATGAATATAATAAGAATAGTTGCTACACGAAAGTAAATAAATAAAAAACAAATATGAACATAATAAGAACAGTTTGTGAACAATAATTCATTCATTATGAACACATTCATGAGCAAACCAATGTTGAGATATGCAGCTAGTGTACATATGAACACGATATGAACAATTTGTGAACAATAGTTCCTTCATTATGAACACATTCAGAAGCAAGTCAATGTTGAGATATGCAGCTAGTGTACATATGAACACTTGTGAACAATTCTTTAACAATTACATATGAATTCAAATTTCGATTGTAGTCGTAAACGATTTTAATCTTTTTATTCTCATTGTTGTCGATCTGTTTTCCAATAAGTTTATCCATATTAYTYGGAYGATATCGAAATCTTTACAATCGGAAATTCTTTAACAATTACAAAATCAATATCATTATGGATAGAATAAATCGAAATTACAAAACATGAACACGTATAAAAAAATATCAATATTACATAATCATTAATTATTGAGATTTTTAGATTTGTAACTTTCAATTAATGATTTGGGAGTTACATAAATGACAAATTACTTAATTACCCTTTTCATTAATATATGAGTTATATGTGAACCTAAAGAAAAGATGAAATATGATTGGTTGAGCTTGGTTAACAAAGTTAATACAAAAATTTTGATTAGTATTTGAACCAAACGTGCACCTATATATATATATATATATATATATATATATATATATATATATATATATGAGAGAGAGAGTCTGTGTATGTATTTGTGTGCCCAAAGTTTGAAACCAAGTATTTTAATTGGAGCATTCATGTCTATGACACCAAGTGGTTATTGGTTAAGGTAGGTAATGCGAAATGGTCAAGATCGGCCGCCACTTCTTTAGGTGACAACCCAATAACTTTCAGAGGATAATCTATAAAATATTATAAAACATTTAGTTTAAATTTTTTAAAATTATTTTTTATATACCAAATACCATTTATTAATATATATTATTTTAAATTTAATATTACAAGTTGATTAAACATAAATATAATTTATTAAAACTTCATATTTGAATTTGTATAACTAATTACAGATAAACATAAATACTAAATAAACGCTAATAAATGAAATACTTATTTTTATTTTCTAAAATATATAAAATTTTAAAACTCTGTATGTAACTAAACGATAAATATAAGAAAATCTAAGATACAACACAATTTTTACTTTTTTTTTATTAAAGTATATTATCTATTTAGTTTTAAATATCATATTTTTATTAAAAAATCATAAATAAAATAAAATAAAATAATATATTTTTTAAAATCTAAATGATAATAAAATTAAACCATAAAATTAGAATGTTGTAATCCTTAGTTTGAAACCTATATTGATGTATAGCTAAGATAAAATAATAATCAACGATCATTTCTTCTAAAATTAAATTAAGAAAGACAAATAACTAAAAAATATAAATTTCAAGATCCTGCTGCATTGCACAGATAGATAAATATATATATATATATATATATATATTATTTCTTCTATTAAAAAATAAAAAATATTGTTTCCAAGAAAATAATTTTTCACGTTTTTTAATAAGAAAGAAAGATATGAAAGATGGTTTTTTTTTTATAAATATACCCTTTAAAAAATTTGATCTTTACTATAAAAGGTTAAGTAGTTTTGTAATTTTAATAATATTTTAAAAATGTTTTAATTTTTTTTCTTCTTTTTTCTTCCACATCTTGAAGAAAAGTTTTGAGAGGAAATTTATGATTTTTCTTTCCCTTTTTTTCCTCCTAAAAAAGTTTCGAAAACACGAATTTTTTTTCTTTCCTCATTTTTTCCAATTTTATAAATTTGAACAATAATACGTTTTATATTAGTTTTCCTTTTAAGCATTAATCTTTTATTCCACAAATTTTCAAACCAAAATCACTCGTCACCATGTTAGTTTTTGTAGGTCAACCGCTAATTGGGCATGAAATTTAGCTCTATTGGTGACCTTTCAAATATAAATTTAGGTAAAATACGTTCGATTTTATTGTAATTATATACATACGGTTAGGTTCAAGTAGGAGCTCTGAGATCCATAAGAATTGTAAGGACCACCTTAACACATATATAATAACACGTTACTATTTGTTAAAGGGTGCTTGGTTCATATAATGAAACTTGGTAGTATTGGAATTTATCAAAAGAATTTGAGTTTTAAGGAATTTGTATGAAATTTAACCATGGATATGGTTGGTATGAATTGAAAGAGAATTTCTCAAAAGAATTGGAATCTTCATCTTTGTTTGGCAGAATGTAACTTCAAAATTGGAATGAAATAACAATAAATGACCAAATTACCCATTTATCATATCCTCATACTTTTTTCCTTAAATTATAAATGTAATATAATGATAATATTAACTAGTGGGGGCTAGGGTTGTCACAAATATGGTAGCGTTGTGCCAGTGTCGATGGGTGATAATATTAAAACATGTTCTTTTCATCTATGAAAATACCCACTCAAACAAAAAGCTTCCAATCTATACAGATAGATTAAGTCACAAAGACAATTATATTTATACAAAACTTAGGCGATGTTTACATGCGGCTTAATGAGGTGCGATTGGCTTATTCGTACAACGCTTTTTAGTTGTTTACTTGTGGCTTATTCATGCAGAAAGTGACTTACTTGCACAGATATATATGTTGTGTTGTCCCCATTCAGCCAAAAAAAAAAAAGACAACCCAACCCTTTGAGACATGCCTCCTTCCAGATTACAGAAGCCCCTCCTTCATCTCCATATCAAAATTTCATCACCATCCATTATGACCTTCAAAAACTCTAGCCGATTTCGACCTGTCATTTGATTTTTGAAGCTTTCTTCGAATAACATGCCTCCTTCATAGAACACCTCCTTCCCTGGTTTTGTTCAACCCCTACACCATCATCTAGATCGATTTCTTGCTCATCTTCTTTAAAATGACGATTTTTTAAATTGATTTCATTTCCATGGATTTTCCTAGAGTTGTGTGATTTCATTTCCAGTGACGATTTCTTGCACCATCATCTAGATCGATTCTTCTCACCAGAGATGATTTCTTTCTCATCTTTTGCACTATTTCTTAGAGATTTCTTTCCAGTGATGATTTCTTGCTCATCTTCTGCACTGGTGGACGATTTCCATGGATTTCCGTCTTCTTCTTCGATTTTCGTTGGACGATTTCCATGGATTTTGTCGTCATCTTCGACTTTAGGGTAAAACCTCCAGATTATTATGTTTCGATTTTAGGGTGCAACCTCCTAATTCCTTCATCTCCTTCGATTTCCATGGATTTTCATTGTCTTGTTCGAACTTGTTCTCAACCTTCAGATTATTATGTTTGATGTTGAAAATAGTTTGATGAATGGTAGATTTTTGATTTGATGAACAATAGCTTTTTGGGCTGATTTTGATTGAACTGGTGTAAACAAAAATTGGTTTAAACATGTTCAAAAAAAGGTAAACAATAGGAAAACAACACTACATTCTTTAGGGGTAGATCTATCATTTATGTCATTCAGGCCGTTGATTCAGGTAAAAAGGTAAACAACAACACTTCTTACCCAGACAGACAAATCTATCCGGAATGACAAATTTATCCATACAGTGATACAAGAATTAATAAAAAATTTGGTAAACAACGTCTAAGACATAACTTAATATAATTGAAAAACCAACCAAACAATCTCTTAATGATTATTGTGCATTTAATAGTGTTTATCGTGGTTATTAATTAGTCCGTTTTTATAAATACAATAAGTGTTAAAAATTGTTTGTATACCATAATTACTTTTTGATATGAAATCTAAGAAATTATATTGTTAAACAATATCTAATACTTAAGAACTTGTCTTTAAAATTTTAGCATATATATTTTATAACTAAAATGGTATTTGTGCAATGCAGTGAGATACATCTTTATTTTAATGTTTCGTTTTATTTTGTCTCCGTTGATATAATACGGTTTATATGGTTTTGAGAAAGATAATGTTTTTACTTTTGAATAAAAATAAATTTGAATATATCATAAAAATTTGAAAAAGTATATTAATATTAATATTAATATCAAATTAACTATTTAAAAGTTTTTGTTTATTTTGTACAATTTCTATAATTCTATTTTTAATTATAATTTAATTTAGGTTTAACGGTGAAGTAATTTATCTTTGGATTAACAATATAATTTTTATAAAGATAATGATACTGTTATAACTCAATGATTATCCTAATTATATTTTAGATTTTTTATATTTAAAATGATATATTTATCCTCTATTTGATTATGTTTATCTGCAGTTAGTTATACGAATTCAAAAATGAATCTCTAATAAGTTGTACTTACGCACAATTTACTTGTAATCTAAAATGTTAAGTACTATGCGTTAAATAACAGTTACTTCATACATAAAAAAATGGTTTTTAAATTTTTTTATCAAATGCCTTATAATATAATATAAATATAATTTACAAAATTAATGTACCATTTTTCAAAGACATTGTTTGATAGATATTAAATATTATGATAAACATATATAGCATATTGATCTAAAAAAAAGCATATATAACTTCTATGAACAAATTCACAATGAATACAAGAAATTTAAATGGCTTCTAACCTAAAACAAAAATAATAAAATCAAAGAGAAACTAGTTTTATAAATGTTTGTCTATTCTAATTTACATTAAAATAGATCATCTGTCAGTAGATCAATAACAAAAGTTTTACTTGTTAGATACGGTTTTTCAGTATTCTAGCGACATTGTAAGCCCAAATATTCCTTCAAATCGCTAGGGAAGCATGGGTATCGACTCCACGAGCTACCGTGCTTTTTGAACATATCCAACGTTCTATTCTTTGTGGACGATGGTCCGCTCATATGCAACAACACGACAAGCTTCTTCACCGCCCCGTAGACCATCATCTCCTCCAAAACCTTTTCTGTCGGATGAAAACTGCATATCAACGAGAAGATCTTCACGCAAATCTTCGAAGCCATCTCAGATACATTAAACAGTTTCTTCGATACTGCACCGATCCCAAGTCGATGTTCGATGAATGCAACCCTTCCTTCAGCGCATTCACATAATAATTTGATGATTTGCAATATTTTCTCGCACTTGGATCGGGTAGAGTCAGGTAGAAGCTCGATCAGGGTACACATTGCACCCGCCTCTATGGCTTTCGATCGGCTTTTCTTCGAAGAATCCAATATCTTTATCAAGACTTGAAGCGTGGATGAACTCGCTTTCGTTGAAATCTCATCCGATGCCAACTCTAACATTGATTTGAACATACCGATCCCTTGATCATTTATGACAATATTCCAATTGAAATTGGAGTTTGCTAGATTCTTAAGTATCGATATTGTGGAAACCCTAGCTTCCTTACTTCCCCTTTGAAGAATAATCGCCATTGATTTCATGCTTTCGGGCTTCGAAAACAACTCAATCACCTTCCCATCATCTTCTTCTGATATCGGGAGATGTTGAAGAACGCCCAAAGCCTCTTCACAAGCTCTAAACGCCATAAAATCCGACCCATCGATTAGAATTTGGACAATTAGTTGAAAAAGCACTTCCAACCCTCCTAATATCATGAAATCAAGCTTCATTTCATCTCCTAATTCGATAATTTCCTTAAGTTTTCTTAAAGAATTCACCTTAAACGGACTCGAGCCAAGGGTTTTGAGCAACGAAACCATTTCATCTCGCTTGAAAGATGATAATGGCGATGAAGATGGTGAAGGTGAAGAAGATGAAGATGAAGATGGAGATGGAGAATGACTGTTTTGCCATACAAGAATGAGTCTCTTGAGGGTGTGATTAGGGGTAATACCGAAATTTTCGATGATTTGCATCGTGGCTGGACAAGTCTTCTTCTTGTAGCTATAGAACCATTTTTCGATGTTTTTTCGCTCGTACGTGACCCCGGTCGATATGATGACGGGTTCTTTCATGAGCTCCATGGATATCGGGCATCTGAAATCTTGAGGAAACTCCATTTGGTTTGATCTCTCCATCTCCATTGTAGATGGATGGATGGTTTAACAGCAATATTGTCACAGAATATGATATATATATATATATATATACACACATATATATACATATATATACATATATATATATATAGATATAGATAGATATACACACAAGTGGGAGAGATTTGAGAAGTCTAAAGAAGGAAAAATCAAAGTCAAATACTAATATTGAGAGTGAATACATTAAATTAAAGATACCTTTGCAAACTGTCTACAGTGCAGAACATGTAGGGCAACATGGAAGAGTTGATTTTCCTTAAATTATAAATTAATTTTATGATTATCCATTTCAGTCCCTTGACTAAACTACATTTACACAATATACCCTTTGAATTTTTCAGGATATACTTTTTCAAATCCCAGAAAAAATCATTCACATTAACAAATAGAATCGTTACAAGTTATGTCGTATGTCTATTGACGAGTTCTTCGTTATTGAATAGGTACACGATTAATACAAAATCGGTTGTAAACAACATATATAATTAATTACATGAATTATTAATGAGTTTTAGTCAAAGTATTTAACGCATTTTTTGTCAAATATTATTTTTCTCGGTATTTTGTATCAAGTCTATTGTTTTTATTTGTTAATTCGATTAACTGTAAGAATATAAGTATGTAATTAATTAATAAATATTTTTGTCTGAGTATGTAACTGTATAAAATGTAAATGTACAAGGGGGAACATTGAAATAATGATAAAAGTAGAAGGGGTGTAAATGTAAGTTGGTCGTCGGTTTAGTTGACTTCGTAATATCGTGTGAGATTAGATCTCAAATTTGCCAAACAAATGGGATATAAAAAGACAAGTAAACACATTTATTCAACTCCATGTGACGCACATATATTTATTTCTTATAAATATTTAATAAATGTTTACGTTTTATAAGTATAGTAAAGTCAAAATTCCAAATAACCTAAATTGATTTTCTTAAATTTTATAGAATAAAACTACAAAATATCATTATACTTAAAAGCATTGCAATAAGTTTATAAGACGTTTTTGGACATTTAACCAAGATTTTAGAATTGTTATGTTAATTATTTTATAAGACACCTTTGAGAATACACTCATCTTTTTATATAACACTTGTGTTTATAGATTGATTTTTGAAACCATCGTATAAAATAGTTAATATGGCTTTTATTTTAAAAGTGTTCTAAAAAACTTGTTAAAATAACTAAAATGTACTATAAACCTACTGTAACATTTTTAGATATGATTTTTTTTGTTAATCCTATAAACTTAATTGTTATAAAGTATCATTTTTAGGACGCTTGTACATTTTAAGTGTCCTATAAGCCTAATTTTGTTATAGTGCATGGAAATTGAGGTGACATTACAGTATTTAAGCATTCTTAAATCTTGCATTATCGGTGTTGGTTTTAGTCATCCTATGTTGGTGAAAAAATTTAAGATTGAAAAATGGAGGTGGCTATTATAAGAAAGGAGGAGAGATGAATTTGATAATTACAAGACTTAGAAGTCGTGTACTAAACGTTTATCGGGTAAACATTTATTGGATCACTTATCTTACCGAATGAGCATGACAATAACCAAAAATATTACTCGGTAAGAGACATGACAAGAACTGAGATTTTTATTTGGTAAGTGAGGAAAAAAAAACTTTTACCCGGCTAGTGCTCTTATATATATATATATATATATATATATATATATATATATATAGGGTTGAGTTCACGTGATACCAAGAGTTTTCCATGAAATCCGTAAGACCAATTTATGTTCATTGATCAACTTTATAAGCTAATAATCTAATGGTTTAAAGTTGCATGGTGGCTTTTTTGTGATTATTGAGAAGTCTCGTGACAATTTTGTGATTATGAATGTTTAGATTGTAGATCTAATACAAGGGTTGAAAATTGGTCTTACGGGTCTCACGAAAAACCGTTGGTTTTATTGAGCAATTAGCTCAACCGAGGTTTGTTTTGTCCTTGGCAGGTACAGGATCGTAGGTGGGATTATCACGAGATTGAGAGCAATGGAATATGACTATTTTAAAGACGACCCTGAATAGTATAGTAGTTTTTGTTTCTGTATATATTGTAATTGTATCCATGTCGTCTTAACTTTTAGTCTACCACACCTTTATTTTGATGGATATTCATAGTATCTCTGGTTTTCCCGTGTATGCTAGCCATTTATGTTGTTATGTTTTCCTTCGTAACACACCATTCTCCTGTCACGCGAGATGAGGGTGTTACACTATACATTGAGGAAGTGATCTCAAGGCATGGCATGCCATTGTCTATCGTTTCGTATTTGCATAGCCCGATTCACTTTTGGGACAGTCTACAAAAGGAATTAGGCATGAAGATAGAGTTGAGCACGATGTATCACCCTCAGACGGATGGTCTAAATGAAAGGACTATCCAAACACTAGAAGAGATGTTGAGTTTATGCTTCATCGGTGTTGATAGTAACTAGGATCTAACCTATCGTTACTGGAGTTTAGCTACAATAATAGTTATCACTCTAGCATCGGGATGACACCATTTTAGGCCTTATATGGCCAAAAGTGTATAACTCCTATGTATTGGCTTGAAACGAGAGAGAAACAATTCATCGGGCCTGAAATTGTACAAGAAATGACAGATAAGGTGAAAGGCATCCGAGAAAACTTTAAAACAGCTGAAGATCGACAAAAGAGTTACATCGGAAAGAAGCGAAGACCGATTAAATTCCAAGTGGGAGATTGGGTTATGTTAAAGTGTCCCCTTGGAAGGTCATCATTTGGTTCGAAAAGCGTGAAATGTTTAGTCCCTATTTCCTTAGGCGTTTTTACTATTTTGAGTCGGTTCGGTCTATAAGTGTACAAGTTGGACTTGACACCAGAAGTGGAAAAGGATCCACAACATGTTCCATGTATGTTATCTGCGTAAATGCTTGGCTGAGGAAGAGAGTGACATTCCCTTGTTAAAAATCTGAGTGGATGGAAGCAATCTTTGTGTAAAAGAACCAGAAACCATCTTGGAAAGAAAGTCAAAGAAGCTTCATCATAAAGAATTGGTTATGGTCAAAGTTTAATGGAGCCATCATCAGGTTCCAATGTGACATGGGAAGCGAAAGAAGATATGAAAAGGCGATATTCACATTTATTCATATAAGACAGGATTTCGAGGGCGAAATCCTTTCCAAGATGGGGAGATTATAACACCCATATTTTGTTAAGTAGGATTTCGAGTTTTATATATTATTTTATCCCTATAATAGCATTTATTAAGTATTTTGAGGATTGGTTGCGTTTGGGTAGGAAAATAGGTAAGAAAAAGAACAATGTTTTCATTATGCTTTAAAAATCATTATGCTTGAGGTGCTATCTTGGAAGTAGGCACTAAGTATGTGAACTTTGAGGTGTTATTCATGAGAATAGACACTAAGGTCAACCTATTCTTGAGGTAAAACTTGTTAGAGGTCGTTGAACACTTGGACACCATGTCTAAAGGTGGTCACATGACGTCATTGGATGAAAGACATACTTTTGTATTCTCGTCACTCTCAATGGATACAAGTCTCCCTCGTTCTTTCCAAAAATGATGCTATATGTGAATTTATGAGCAAGACTATGTAACTTCTCTTGGTTACTAATTTGATATCTTCTTGCTAATTATGATTGCATATTTTATATTCGAGCTCACTAGGCTTTTTGGATTAGGACTTGTTCTTGTCGGCATGTATCTTAGGTTCTAGTGACAGGGTTGCTTAGGTGGTTTGATCGGCCGCCTTTAGAAAGCTTTGAGGGAGTATTTTGAGATGATAAATATTGGTTCTATATTTTTGTGATTTAGGTGACAGTCGATTGTAATCTAGATATTTCGATGAATTATGTTAGAAGGTTGTTATCCTCAAACCCATTTATTTACACATGTAATTAACAAGCTATTTTAAGTTTCCCTTTTTGGGTACGCTCGTATTCTGATATTCCATACCATATTCCCTGACTTCTCTTTGGAATTTTGCCGTCCCAATTTTTGGGGTGTTACAGATGTGGTCCCTCCCACTAACTCATTCAGTTAAATTTCCATTAGTAAGGAGTAATTTTGTCTATTCACCGTCGACTTTCTCAATTTCCATTTTTCAATAATAGATCTGGTCCTTCAAACTACCGTTTCAAATAAAATATAATTTTAATAAATATTTTGTTTTAATTAGTTGAATCGGTTTTATAACTAAATACCTAATGATATATTAAATATTGAGATATAAAAATATTAAGTTTAAGTAATTACTAAAATTATTAATATAAAAATATAAATTTAACCAATTTACTTAGAATAATTCATACACACTAAAAAAATGTTACGATTTAATTATAATTAATAAATATATAAAACATTTGCATTAACCAATTGAAGATTATCAGTGTGATTATGATAAATAGTATTATAATTTAACACATCATAATAATACTAACAGTCTTCAACCAGTTTATGCTAAATTATAACATTTTTATATATTTATTAATTATAACTATTTTTAGTGTATATAAATAAACTAGTTAAATTTTTAACATTTGTATATTAATTAGTTTCAGTAAATTACATAAATATATATTTTTCTATCTTATTCTTTAATATATTGTCGGATATTTAGTTTTTGAAAATTTATTTAATTTCAACTAACTAAACAAAACATTTTTATTAAACTTATATTTTATTTGAATTAAATGATTTCATGAAGTAATGTTTTCTGAAAAGATAAATAGAAAAATTGAAGATTTTATTTAATAATTTTACTCATTATATTTAGAAAATATATGTTTGTGTCGCCAAATTTTATTAATTAAAAAGAGGGACCAAAATTTTTATTAAAAATCATAAAAATGAAAGTTGAGGGAGAGATCAAAAATCTGTTACAAAAATGAAAAGTAGTTTTAGGGACCAAATCCGTCATCGAAAAATGAAAGTTGGAGGAGAGGAGTGTGAATAGACAAAATTGCCCTCCTAACGAAAACTTAACTGAAAGAGTTAGTAGGAGGAACCATA